AATGCATTATTTTGCTCTTTTCTCATTTTAGCTTTTGGGTTAAGTGTTTTTTCTTTCATTTAAGGAATTTGTTTTTAAGGAACAAATCTCACTTGTTTTTTTCTTTCATTTAAGAAATTTGTATTTCTACATAGTCCCTGTGGTGAGCATGGTGGCTCTATAGGGTGATAAGCATGGGACTGTGAACCACAAGGTTGGTGGTTTAAGCCCATCAGCCATTCTGCAGGAAAAAGACAAGGCTTTCTGCTCCCACAGACATTTATAAGTCTTGGAAACCCTTTACAGACAGGGTCACTATGAGTCAGAATTGACTAGAAGGCACTTAACAACAACAAATAGTCCTTGAATGATCCTGAATATTGGTCTTAACTGGTTTTTGAGAAAGAATATTGAATAGGGTAATCTTTAAAATAGTAATAGTGAAGTAAATAAGCAAAAGATGGTAATGAGAGTGAATGCTGACTTTATTTGTTCTTTGCACAAATGCCTGATGAGAACCATTGTGACTAGCAGTTGTGTGATGAACTTGGGCTATACAGAGTTGAATGAGACCTGGGTCCACCTGCCCTGGAGAAGCTTGCTGTGTTGAGCAGGGGGCAGGCAGGCAGATTGGTCAACAGATATACAGTGTCATGGTGTAAAGCCTATAAGGGGACTGAAAGTCAGAGATCCTTGGAAAGACTGAAAGTCAGAGATCCTTGGAAAGGGCTCTTAGTGGGAACTTGAAGTGTGAATCTAAGCAAACTAAAACCCAGATCCTTTGCTGTTAAGTTGATTCCAAATCATGGTAACCCCAACCCCGTGTTTTATAGAGTACTCCTGCTCCATAGGGTTTCCTTGGCTGTAGTCTTCATGGTAGCTGATCACCAGGCCTCTCTTCCACAGTGCTGTTGGGTTCAAGCCATGAGAGCAAACCATTTGTACCACTCAGGAACCTCATCAGTCCAATCTTTATGTTTTCAAGGCCCATGGGTGGGACAGTTTTTACTTAGCTGCAAACTGAAAGATTGGTGATTTGGATCCACCCAGTGCTGCTGCCTAGTAATCGCCTTCCTTTGAAAACCCAATGGAGTAGTTTACTCTAAAGCATATGAGGTCTCACTATGTGTGAGAATTGAATTGTGGCAACAGGTTATATTGTAAGAGTGTGAGAATTTGATCATGTAGTGTACAAAAACGTATAATAAATTTTTTTTTATTTGTTAATGTTGATGATAAAGTTCTTTTATGGAAGCTTGAGAAAATGCTGTTCGTGGTTTTTAACTTAAGAAAAATTTGCCAGGTATTTGTACTTAGGAATGTCACAGTGATAATAGTAAGCACAGGGACTGGGCTCCTCCTCTTTGCTTTCTCTAATGCCAGGGTTGGTGTCAGTTTGAAGGTATATCTCAGTACCAAAACATGCCTTCACGCATCCCTGAGACAAGATGGTGAAGGTCGGAGTCAACGGATTTGGCCGCATTGGGCGCCTGGTCACCAGGGCTGCTTTTAACTCTGGCAAAGTAGATGTTGTTGCCATCAACGACCCCTTCATTGACCTCAACTACATGGTATATATGTTCCAGTATGA